TTATAATACATTTTTTTTGCGTTGTAAAAAATCTCTTAGTATATTTTTTGATGTTCTATCGTTTCGCGTTTTCAAAATTTCGAAAATCTCAAAAATTTGGCTTTCCCCCCCCCGTTATCCTATGTGCTGCCCATGGATTTTGATCAATTTTTGTTTATTCGATAAAAATTTCATTTACATTATTTCGGGCTGAAATTAATTTTCCTAGGGCAGTTTTCGACGCTTTATCGAATGACGTTTTCAAAATACCGAAAATGTCGAAAATTTCGAAAATTTGACTTTCCCCCCCCGTTATCCTATGTGCTGCCCATAGATTTTCCTCACTTTTTGTTTATTCAATAAAAAATTTCTATTACATTATTTCGGGCTGAAATTAATTCTCTTAGTATATTTTTCGACGCTCTATCGAATGGCACTCGCAAAATCCCTCAGTAATTGCAAATTTCATAATAATGAGTGCCCCCCGTTATTTTATTCCCCCCCCGTTATCCTATGTGTACCCTCTTTAGGGTAAGCTCCGGTTCAAAAAAAATTTACAAAAAAAATTGCATTAAAAACCTCACTTACCAGCTTCATTCCTGGCAAATTCCGATGTTAGAGCCACGGTCATCCCCTGGATGAAGCCGTCGACTGAACCGGAAACCTAGAACAACTATTGAACTCATTTCATCTTTCGCGCTCACTCTCTCTTTCTCTCTCTCTCTCTCTCCTCTCTCTCTTCTCTCTCGCTCTCTCCATCTCTCGCTCTCTCCCTGGCTCTCTTTCCCTGGCTCTCTCTCGCTCTCGATCTCTATCTCACTCTCTCTCGCTCGCTCTCTTTTCACTCGCGCTCTATCCCGCTTAGTCTCTCGCTCTCGCTCTGTCTTTCTCACACTCTCTCTCTCTCGCTTTATCTCTCTCTTTCACTTTTTCTCGCTCTCTCGCTTGTCCCTTTAAATTCAAATGCTACCTGGAATAGCGGCGCGGTCCCGTCAAACGATCCGGCTAATCTAATAAAAATTATTAGTTATGCTATTAACAAGCAATTTTTGAGATGAATAGATAAAGCTTGTATAAATAGTATAAACAGATAACGCTTAATAAATAAAGACTAAGAATTCTTACTGCATATCCATATTCTCGAGGCCGAACACGGCGTACCGCGGCGGCATAAAGTTGACGACGGAGAACTACAAAGGGCACTGAACCCGAGAAAAGGAATGGCAGCGTACTTGTGGCGGTCGATAGTGCAGAATTCGGACGTTCTGCAGGTTCACGAAGCCGTTGATGCCGGCATGGTTGAAGGGATATTGTGAGGAATAGCCCTGGAATATGGTAGTCCTTCATTGGTTCTTTTGCATTATCGGGGGGAGCAACCGAATTTTCCCATACTCTAGATAGGCGCAATAACGTATTAGCAATGGTTTTAATAGTACTTTTTGAAAAGTTTAAGCGCAGTTTTTTGATCGAAAAATTATGCAAAAACTCCTAAAAATCTTTTTGCGGTTTTGAAACTATAAAAATTGTAAAATACTGCGATAAACAATAGATCAATGACAGGGTAAAAATATATCGTACCCTAATATTCCTGATCTGCTCGTTGAACAGCTTGACGGCCACGGTTTTCAAGTGGTTGATCCCCTTCTTGGTCAGTCGTATCCGCACGCCGGGATTGCCTAAAAAATCACATTTTTTCCGAAATATATTCGAAGCCGGCCTCAAAGTTTTCCGCAAATTACCTCGGCTAGATTGCCGGGCCCTAATTTTCCCAAAGAATCTCTGCTAGCTTGCCCATTTTATGAAAAAGCACTCTGCTATTTTTCCCCTCTGAAAGCCTTCGTCGAAACCCAAAAAAATCCTGCAATTTTTTTTCCTGCAATTCCTTACCTTTCCTCCCCTTCCTTACTTTGCCCAACCCGGTATGCAAATTGCAGTTGTGGTATGTCGGTGAGTTCGGGCCGGGGGTTCTAAGGGGCGGAACGAGTTGTGGGGCTGAACAGAGATGGTCAGCGAACCGGAAGGATGGAGAAGGGGCAACGATGATGATGGCTCTCTTACAGCCCCTATCTCTCTCTCTCTCTCTCTCTCTCTCTCTTTCTCTCTCTCTCTTTCTCTCTCGCTCTCTCTTTCTCTCGCCCTGATCTTCTACTACCGCTTTCGATTTCCATCGAGCCGACGGCTAAGCCCAGAGACTTGCAGAATCTTAGAAGATGAAAAGCCCTGGAAAACAGAGCGATCAGGATTAAAGGGACATGGAGAATTCAAAGCCTCTGCTAGCCCTCCTCAATGGTCTCTGCTAGCTCTCCTCAATGGTCTCTGCTAGCCCTCCTCAATGGTCTCTGCTAGCCCTCCTCAATGATCTCTGCTAGCTCGCCTGAGCATATTTCTCTAAGAGTTTCGGCTTCTTACCGTCCACCACGTTCTCCTCGATTTTCTATCTGGCTTCCAGGTCCCTTTGAACGATTTACGCCCTCAAAATGCGTATCCGGAAGCCTAGCCCGGAGTCTAGTACTTTTTCGGGGGTACCCAAAAAAATTCGGGCTGGCAACTGCAGGGGGAAACAGGTCCGTGAACAGGGGGGTAGAATAGCTGACCAGTTGCCGTTGATCGGAGAGAGAGAGAGAGAGAGAGAGAGAGAGAGAGAGAGGTGTTAGGTGGATCGGCTCGTTGTCGACAATGGCATACCCTTCGAATACACCACCCTTTCGAATGTCAGCCACCGGCCCCCGGGGGCGAGAAACGGAAACCCGCTTTTTTGCCATTCCACAACACTCCTCGGCACATATTGAGGCGTCTGAGGGGGTGATGGACTGACACCTGTGTTCGACCTTGAATCGACCCGGCTTATCGGGTGAAGCGAGATTTAGAAAATCAGGCTTCAAGGGGTTGGCAAGACCCCTAAAGAAACGCAAAGCGGTATGCATGTGAGTTAGCGGGAAGCATTGAGGCAAGCTAGCAGAGATTGTTCAGGATAGTTAGCAAAAACCGTTTGGGGAGGGCTAGCAAGACGTATTGAGGAAAGGTGGCAGAGATCGTTGAGGAGGGCTAGCAGAAACCATTAAGGTGAGCTAGCAAAAACCATTTGCCAGCCATAAATTTTCTTTTGAAGGAGGAAAATTGGGTACGAAAAATGCACTCACTGATTTTACAAACTTTTTTTTTTATTTGAGAAGAGGGCAAGCTAGCATTACTGCTTTGCTTTGCTTTGTGTCTAGGCTTAATCGGGGGCCGAGAGCGAGAGAGAGAGAGAGAGAGAGAGAGAGAGAGAGAGGGGGAGAAAAAGAGAGAGAGAAGGCACGCGGGCAACCTAGCAGGAATTCCTTGCGGAGACTTGGGCTAGCGAGCAGGGGCCTTTTGGGAATTTCGGGAGCCGTTTTTGCAGAGAGCTTTCCAGATCATTTTTAGCATGGTGGAATCTTCGAATCCTAAGTGGCTTAGGCTTAGGCTGAGGCTTAGGAACTTTCATTTTTGTTTTTTTTGCAGGGCAAGCTAGCGGAGATCCTTTTTGAACAGCGCTTTTGCATAGGGAAGCTAGCGGAGACCCCTATGGACCATCCTTTCCCCGGGCAGGCTAGCTGAGATCTTTTTATTTTTGTCTTCCCAGCGTAAGATAGCAAATGTAATTGAGGAATTTTTCCAGATCAGATTTTTCCAAATTTACTCCTCCTCCCACCTGGCGTTTTGTTCCATCGTTGCGAGTTAGCGAAAATCTGGCGAGCCTCGAGAAAATGGAGGAGTACGAGGAATAATATAGGTAATGACGCACTTAATATCCGGCCCATACTTCTCCCTTTGACGATGTCGATCTGCCAATGCTGCAAAATATAGTCTAGAGTGTAGCGAAAAGTGTTGAGATGCGTTATGGCTAGCCAAGTGAGAGGTCCGCAGGGCTATGATGGTTCCTCAATTTTCGATGACGCTCCGAAGCGAGAGAGAGAGAAAGAGAGAGAGAGAGAGAGAGAGAGGTGGTATGGAAAGTGAGACTGGATACGGACGGTCGGACTGTGAGACGAGGCAAAAGGGGAGGAGCACCACCCTAGCCACCCAACAGTGAAAGCAAAAATAGTGGCACTTTTGTTTTTTAAAGATGAGGGTAGGGTTTAAGGAGGAAAACGCCGAAATGCCGACAGCCGAAAGTCTGGCAAGCCAAAATGCCGACATGCAAAATATATGCTTAAAAGGAAGGTCATTCAAGCTGTCGTGAAGTCGGTATGTCGGTATTTTTAAAATCGGTATTATGGCTGTCGGTATTTTGGATTTCGGCATTATGGTCGGGCTTATGGCTGTCGGTATTTTTTGCTGTCGGGATTCTTGCGCTCGAGATTTTAGCTGTCGAGATTAGGGTTGTCTTTTTTTTTATTCTCGGATTTTGGTATTTCAGATCCCAGAATTTTCGCTATCGCGATTATGATTGTCGAGATAGTGACTGTCGGTATTTTCACTATCGGGATTTTGGGTCGGGTTTTTGGCTGCCGGTATTTTCGCTATTAGGGCATCAGGCTGTCGGGATTCTTCTGTCGGGATTCTAGATGTCGGTATTCTGGCTGTCTAAATGTTCGCCGTCGGGATTTCGGTTAAATTGGCGACGACTTTTTAGCCGCAAGAATCCCTAATTTCAGCGTCCCGTTTCTTCAGGATTCCGTCAGCTCCGTCACTTCCCCTCCCTTCTATTCTTCACGACCACCCCTTCCCTTTTCAACCAAACACACACACACCAGCAAAAAAATAAGGGGGGAACGGCGGAAACCCGAGTCGCGACATGAATGGCAAACAAGGGAACGCGAAGGCCCACAGCCTTCCGCAGCCTTGCCGAATCCCACACTACCAACCTGCACGCCACGTCCCGGATTTGGCTTGGTTTTTTTTAGGAATTCCACGAAATTTTAGAATCTCGAAACTGCCATAGTATGAATCAACATTACGAGCTGCGGGGATTCCACGCTTACGTCCTGCATCTTCGGAATTAGATAGATTTATGCAAAGTGACGAATATCATGACATCAGACGGTGCCAGGGTTGAAAGTCGCGAAGCGTAGTTGTCTATTTCCTGTCCCTTTAAATTCAGCATTAATGATAGGAGCGGGTCGAACCATTCAGAGTGTCCTCAGATATTCATGAACCTTTCCCACCCTCCGTGGCCGTTTGTCTATATCAAGCCATCTTGGGTATGGGATGAAGAGGCGGGGGTCCACTTCGAGGGCTTTTCCACTTCTTCCCGCTGCTTCTTCTTCTCCTCAAAAAGGCCATACGTTTACTCCTGCGCCGGGGCGAGCGCCAAACTAATCCCTGACGCATCGATGGAAGGGAGTCAAGTTTGGGGTGGATTTTTGATCGAATCAAGCATTTTTTCGTTATCAAATTGTATGTTTTTGGCTTTTATTATATGGTTGGCAGTACATGAATATTAAGAGGCACTAATTTACCTATTTCGCAGAATATAAATCTTGCTCCTCCCGTTAAAATTCCCCTTGGCGCCCTCAAATCTCAGCTACAGCCCCAGAAATGACTAATCGTGCCCGCCCGCAATCACGCTTCCCCTCCCCCCAAAATTTCGAGCTCTCAATAAAAAAATCACGCTGATAAAATTTGAGGCACTCAGCGTCAGCATTTCAGCTGATCTCGGATAAGACAATTTACCAATTTCGGGCCCTAAATTCCGAAAAAATCCTGGAAGAACCATTTTCTATCTAATCTCAATCTATCGGCTTCCCGGGGCGCTTGTTTTCTCTTGCAATTTATGAATCACGCGTGTCCGCCTTGCCAAAATAATCCGTGGAAATTCGGCGCCAAGGATCCACGAGACGCTATTTGCGGTTTTGGCCAAGCGCTTACGCAAAATCTAACGTCTAGCGAAACCTAACCTAGATCGGAGCCTACGCCTAAGCCTATTCCCTAAGCCTAAGCTTAAGCTAACCTAACCTAAGGTAAAGCCTAAGCGACGTCTAAGCATAAACCTAAGCCTCCTAAGTCTAAGCCAAAGCCTAAGCCTAAGCCATGCCGAAGCTTAAAACTAAGCCTAAGCCTAAGCCTAAGCCTAAGCCTGACTCGGCCTTAGCCTACGCCTAAGCTTAAGCCAAGCCTAAACCTAAGCCATGCCTAAGCCTAAGCCTAAATTTATCCGTAGATTTCCCAAGCAGCTAAAACAAGGGTATAAAGCTCGAATCAAAAGGCAGCGTTTCGAGCCCCGTCCCGGCTGGCGCTTCACATTAAATTTCCCCCGGCAACCACTTTTCGCTGGCCCGCCTGGGGCCCGCGACAAAACGTGCGTGCCGGGAGGGTGGAGAGGGCCCTAAACGTTTTCGGGCTCGGTTTTTAGCCTTTTTTCTGAATGATATTCCCTTTAATGGTTGTTAATCTATCAAAGTCCGAGCGGTACAATTATTCAAAAAATCCAATTCTTTTTGTGAATAATCTTCTCTGCCATTAATACATTTTATACCTATTTGCAGGCATAACCACACTGTCCCTTTAAAAATGTACTCTATTTTTTATTGATTTTTTTATTTAAACGATTCATACCATGTAACATTTGTCCCAAAATTATATAGAAACTCGCAGAATACTGTAGTGTACGCGGTACACCTGATTACGGCGCTGGGATGAACCATTTTCAACCGCGCCAAACCGACGCGTTGATAGGGCTGATGCGGAATTTGCCGGTACTGTGGTTAAAGTAAGTATATCGAGTCCGGACTAAATATATTAATGTAAATTTAAGCTGAATAATATTAGTTGTTACTTTAGAAGCAGTAAAATCAACGGCCACAACTCGAAGGATGTAAATTTAGCAAAGGCCGAAGCGTGGAAAGCTGTAGCAGAAAGTTTGCGGATATCAAGTAAGCTCTGAAGTTTTTAACTCTATGTAAAAAAATTATTGCTCAAAAATAAATCCACTCTTCCACAGCAATTTAAAAATTTAAGAAAAATACTATAATTTTCCGGTAAGCGGCTCGATGCGTAAATGAATATTTTTTACGTTATAAATCTATCAAAAATTATTTTTATTTGATGATTATATTAAAAATAAATTATTAACCAATTTAACTATTTAAAACGCAAATAACTAAGTCAGTTTTCGATTTTTTTTTCCAGTAAAAGAAGCGAAAGAGCAATGGGCCTACATTCTGTTAATACACCGAAATATCTACGGCCAGCTACCCGACGAGGCGTTTCGGTTCGTTTTTACACATTTCGAGCAGCAAATTGTTGAAATGCCGACAAGCAAAAAGCCGAAGACCGAAATGCCGACAGGCAAGAATATCGAAATTCAAAAAGTCTATCATGGGCCCAGAAAATTCTAATTCTAAGCGTTTTCGTCTCGGCATTCTGGCTTCTCGAATTTATACTGTCGGCCTTATGAGTGTCGGTATATTGACTATCTTAACAGAAATTAAAAAAAAATCCAGATACGACTCGCCACCAAATTGGGACCCTCATTGGGATGAAGCCGTCACACACATCTCGCTCTTGTATGCGCAATTTTTTCAAGAAGACCTACGGTTTTTGTGCGAAAAATAAAAAATGCAGAATGATGACCTGAAAACACAGGAAAAGAAAAAAGCCGGCACAGACCATTGAGGAAAGCTAGCAGGTACCATTCAGGGGAGCTAGCAAAGAACATTGAGGAGAGCTGGCAAAGACTGTTGAGGAGAGCTAGCAGAACCGTTGAGGAGAGCTAGCAGAGACCATTGAGGAGAGCTAGCAGAGACCGTTTAAGAAGCCCAATTTTAGACTGAATTCAAATTTTTCATGGCCTGCCAACACGTATTTCCATTGCACATTTCACGTTGATTCCAGGCTGTTTACAAAACCCGGGGCGATCGGTCTTTTTGACGCGGGGGCCGCTTGGGGGGACGTGTATGTGCACGTGCCCCTTTTTGTGCTTTTGGTGGTTGTGCTGCGGCTCCGCGCTGGCCGCGTACCACCCCCGACGGCTGGCACCGAGCGGAAACGGCCAATGGGCTGGGGATGGGCCCGCGGAGGGTAGGAGAATGATCTTTGCTCCAGCGTAGCGTGGAACGCCAAAATACGATTAAGGTTTGCTCCAGAAATATTTAAATTTTCGTGTCTGATATGTGTCTGTTTCATGTTGAAACGCGGAATGAGCAAGTCTAAGCCCAAGGCTAAGCCTAAGCCTAAGCCCAAGCCTAAGCCCAAGCCTAACTAGGGATGCCTTCGAACTTACCATCGAGTTTCGACTTGAAAATTGGTGTGCTTATAAAGTTTGAGCTTGCGATTCCGATGCGCTAAAAATTTTAACAAATCGTCCATAGGCTGCTGAGATAAAAAAAGTTTAATTTTGGCAAAAATGCATGATTTTTGCGCGTTTCGTCCCCGCCGGCCCTGAACGGGGCGTGCGAAGAAGAGGCCTCTCTGGAACCCCTCCGGCATGGCAGCGTGGCCTCGAGGTAGAGCTCTCGCTTCAAAAATTTTTGGTCGGGGGTTCAATTCCGACCACCACTTTTTTTGAAAAAACTTTTTAAAGCTTTTTGCCAAATTTTTTACCTGCATTATTATTTTGTATTCTTTGTCGGAACCAAAAGATAGCGAGCGAGCTGTGAAGCTTCTCGAATCTGATAAAATGACTTGCTCTGTTCATAGAAATGCTCGAGAGCTTTTCCTGTGTTTCTTCATCCTTCGCTAAAGCATCGTAAAACAATCGCAAAAAGTTTGGCAAAAAACTTTAAAAAGTTTTTTCAAAAAAAGTTGGTGGCTGGAATTGAACCCCCGACCAAAAGTTTTTGAAGCGAGAGCTCTACCTCGAGGCCACGCTGCCATGCCGGAGGGGTTCCAGAGAGGCCTCTTCTTCGCACGCCCCGTTCAGGGTCGGCGGGGACGAAACGCGCAAAAATCATGCATTTTTGCTAAAATTAAACTAGTTATATCTCAGCCGCCTATGTACGATTTGTTAAAATTTTTAGCGCATCGGAATCGCAAGCTCAAACTCTATAAGCTCACCAATTTTCAAGTCGAAACTCGATGGTAAGTCCGAAGGCATCCCTAGTAAGCCTAAGCCTAAGCCCAAGCTTAAGCCCAAGCCTAAGCCCAAGCCCAAGCCCAAGCCTAAGCCCAAGCCTAAGCGCAAGCTTAAAGCCCAAGCCTAAGCCCAAGCCTAAGCCCAAGCCTAAGCCCAAGCCTAAGCCTAAACCCACCGCAACCCTACTCTTATCTTGCGTAACTGGTTACGGTCAGTTGTCTGCTCAGCAAAATACATTTCCCTTCCTTGCCGGTCCCTTTAAAAACTATTCTCACCACTCCGAAAATGTAGACCATCCCGGGCCCCATCCCCTTCGGTCCCTCGGAATCTTTTGAAAGAACCTCCTCACCCCGGCTGGCAGCATCGGACCCGCGCGTTCATCGTCTGCCCGGCGAATCCACGGGCAAACAGACGGACAAACACACAGACAGACACACACACAACCCGGTGTGTTTGACTCTGCAGCAGTACCTCTCAGTAAGAGGTCGAGCCCCGTCGCTGCTTTCCCGCCTCTCGCGTCTGTGTCCCCCCATCTGCCCACTATCTCGCCCCGATCTGTTTGCGTTTCCGCGCCCCCGTCCCCGAGGGCCCGCCGCGTGTGTTTGTATGTATGTCTGTCTGTGTGTACGTGTGTGTGACCCCGGGCAGGCGCGTCCGTCTGCCCCCTCCGCCTTCATTGCTGTATTTCCGCGCCCCCTAACCCCCCACACCAAGTGCCCAACCCCGCCACCGCCCCGCCGCTCACCCACCCGCTCAAAAAATCCACGTCCAACCGAAACCACCCCGACAGTCCTCCTCCTCATCCTCATTTTCTCATCCTATTCCAGTTTCATCAGAAATTCTTAGATGAATTTCCTCTCCAAAATATCGCTAAATTTAGGGTTTTTGGGTTTTTAAAATTTATTTATAGCTCCTTAACTGATTCTTCAACTATCTAATTCTAACTAAATTCCAATTTATGTAATTTTTAAAGCTTTAAAGTTTACTCCTCCTCCTCATTTTTCCTCATTTTTAACAAAGAATTTCTTTTCAAGAAATCCTTAAAAAATTTGTTAGTCACCTGAATTTCAACGTCGCACAGGCCACCGATTACGACATGAAAACACCGGCTGCACTCCCTGACCTTGAGTGTCAGATACCATTAATGCATCCAACTTGATAAAACAAGCATGATACCCCGGTTTTGATAAGCATATAGTGTTTCCTCCTTTACTTAAATTCAGCAAAACGCACTCTCCCTATTTTTTATGTACTTTCTGTTGTTGTTCGCCTTCACGATTCGGCAGAGTCGTATTTTTGCGGCGATTCAGCGCTCCAGAATTGAGTTTTTACGATTTATTTTTGGGGGTTTAGGTAAAAACGCGGCTATTTACTCGTTTTTATCGATTAAGAATTTGTTAAGATACTCGATTTATGAACACTTACAAGGAGTCGTTTTTAGGTGATATTGGAGTTTTTGAGCGAGACCTAGCTAGTTCGATAGAGAAAAAAATTCTGAGCAAGATGTCGTTTTCCAAATATGCTAACCGTGTACGATATTCAATAAAAATTAATTTTAATGAAAAAAATTGCCGCACATGGGTCAGCGCCACGCTGCCGCCCATGGATCAGGCCCGGGACATAGGCCGCAAGGCGAATGAGCATCCGCATGAGACGGTGGCCTAGTGGATAGTGCAGACGTCTATTAAACTTTTGCAAATTTAGGCTCAGGGTTCAGAACCTTTTTTGATTAGCGGCTTGTCCTGTTCAGAATTTTTTGCTCTATCGAACTATAGCTAGGTCTCGCTCGAAAACTCCAATATCACCTAAAAACGACTCCTTGTTAGAAAATTTCAACATCCTGCCGTCTCTGTTTCACTCTCTCTCTCTCTCTCTCTCTCTCTCTCTCTCTCTCTCTCTCTCTCTCTCTCTCTCTCTCTCCCTCACTCTCTGTCTCTCTCTCTCTTTCTTTCTCTCTCATTTTTATTTTTTTCTGGAAATTCGAGGGCTGTTTTTTTCGAGTTCAAAATATCGAGTTTTTCTGGGAAATTGGCTTCCGGTTTTTATTTTCAAGACATTCGACGAACTTTCCACCGCAACTTGTTGATACGCATCATTTTTATGGACCAACACCCAAACCACCTTCCCCCACCCCGGCCATTCTCATCCGCCCAGCTTTTTCTTTTTACTGTTTTTATGCCCGGCAGCCGATTGCAAAAAAGCCGGCTGCGCGCAATGAAACGCTAACATCGGGTTTTTCTATCTATTTTTTTTTTGCGTGGGCTAGGGATGGGAGCCTGGCGGAACTGGTCGAGGCGGGGGAGCACGCGCGCCCTGCTCGTCCTCCCCACCGCGCCGGGGCTCGTTTCCGCGCTGCGGACACAGGCACAACATCACTGGCCGACAGACCGACAGCACGCAACGATTTTTGCGGCTCCTGCTCCGCGCTGCCCACCCGGCGCGGAGACCAGAGCCCGTTTGGCGATTTTTTTTTTTTTGGGAATGCCGGATGCGCATAATTGTAACCTAGCTGGGATCGAGTTCTGGTTATTAATAACCTGGTGTGTTCATCCTTTTTTTAGTGGGATTCAGCCTGCGGAAATTTTTAGGATTTTTGGGTCCGAATCCAGAGGTTTTTTACGATCTCGGCGGGACCCAATTCTTTTTACAATGCCGGATTTGTCTAGCTTATCTATCCATATCTATTGTATTTTTTTACTACAGTATAGCGTATTTTAAGTGGAATAACTATCTAAAAAGTCGAGGGAAAATGTCTAAAAAAATTGTAATTTTCGAAAATCGGCAATTTTGCGCAGAAAAATAGGTTCTTTGGCATTATCGGGGAGGGCGTGCTCTTTTTCTCATCACGCATTTTTTTCAAATATAAATAGCTAAATTCTTTTTTTTACTATACGTAAACGTCAAACATTACAAATTTTATTAAAAATAAAACTATTTTCGACCAAAAATTGGTATTTTTTAATCAGAATTTCGAGTTTTTGAACATTTTTTGAACTTTTTGGATGGTGTTTGGTCGAAATATAGTTTAATTTTACCAAAGATATTAATAAAACACTGTAGATTTACACACCCCCCCCCCGATAATGCAAAAGAACCAAAAAATCTGTATTTTTTGCAATTTTTAGTATTCGCGTAAGTAACTATCCATTACATTACGCGGATCCGATGTTGTGTTGTAATTTCCCAGAATTCATGGTTATTATTATCTATTTTGTTCTATCTCAATTTATTTCTTCTACTTCTATCTAAACTGGTGCCTTGCCTGGCTCAGGCTCGCTTCGATTCGTTGGAGAAGCGGTTTGGTGAGGGGGTCTTTTGGGGGGAAGCGGCCGCGTCCTCACCCGGATCGAACTCTGCTCTTCGCCTCTCTTTCCTATATCTCGCTCTCCCCCCCTCCCCTTCCGCCCATCCGCTGCCCACCACCGCCTCGCCACATTCCGGCCACGCTTCACTTAATCCCTCTATTTTCTCGGTTGACTGGGGTGAAAGTTGTTCAAAATTCGGCTGGAATCGCCCTAGCCCTATAATTTTTACGCGTGCGAACGAATACGGGCGAGTTTCGGGGGTACTTTGCTATTTATAAATTCGAAATCTAATTTTTTTCCCTGGGCGGTAATCTTATACAAAGCTTTTTCATTTTCTTTAATAAACTCATTTTATGCGAACAATACCGGTTTCTCCCTTTCTCTCTCACGTTCTCTCTATCTCCCGCTCTCGCTCCCTTCTCTCTCTCTCTCTCTCTCTCTCTCTCTCTCTCTCCCTCTCTGTCTCTCTCTCGCTCTCTTACCCGAGCACTCGCTCCCTCTCCAGATCTCTCTCTCCCCCGATCTCTCTCTCTGCCGATCTCTCTTTCTCTTTCGCGCTCTCGCGCTCTCGCTGTCTTTCTCTCATTTTACATGGTTTAATACCAATACTTTTCCTAATTCATCCATATCTTTAGCTTCCACCCACTATGGAGGAAAGCGGGGCCACCGTCGAGGCCACCGAAGTCGACAACGAGACCCTGAATCAGGTTAGCACAACCTCGCTCCGCTACTTTGAAACCCTGTACTCATTAACACATTTCGAATTCAGATTTTCCAGTTAAACGCCCACTTCCTGGCGACGGCCGCGAAGGGGATGGTAGCCGACGTGAAGACGGAGCAGGAATGCCACGACTTCAACTACCAACTCATCCAAGAGGTCAAGAAGCGCCCCTGCCTCTACGACATGAACGATGATACTTATAATAACAACACGATGCGGGCGGCAATGTGGGCTGAAATTGGGCAGCGCTTCAGCACATCCCGTAAGTCTGCTTCGCAGTTTAGGTTAAGCTTCAGCCTAAGCCTAGGCCTAAGCTTAAGCTCAAACCTAAGCCTAAGCCTACGTTTAAGCCTAAGCCATAGTATGAGCGCAACCTCATTTTTGCTTTTTTAAAGCTAGGCGACTTCGGTAAAAATTTCCCCAAATTTCAGCCGACTTCGTGAAGACGCGCTGGAAGACGATGCGCGATCGATACAAGAAGGAGGAGAAACGGTGGAAGGCGGGCAAGCTGACGGCCTGGACCTTTTTCCAGCACCTCCACTTCATCTCGCCCTATCTGCGCGCTCGATAGTAAGTCGATTTTCGTGGCTCGGGCTTGGTTGGCTTAGCTTGGCTGGTTTGGCTTGGCTTGGCTTTGCTTGGTTGCCTAGGCTTGGCTTAGCTTGGTTGGCTTGGCTAGCTTGGCTTGGTTGACTTGGCTTGGTTGACTCGGCTTGGCTTTTGGCTTGGTTGGCTTGGCTTGGCTTGGCTTGGGTTGACTTGGTTTGGTTGACTCGGCTTGGCTGACTTGGTTTGGTTGACTCGGCTTGGCTTGGCTGGCTTGGCTTGGTTGGCTTGCTCCACCTTTTTCATAAATTTTGTTTTTAGCCCTCACGATCCGGAAGAGCGAAGCGTTGATTGTCAACAGTCGGACGAAGAGGGATCGCCGCAGCCCACATTATTAGGTGAGCTTAAAATGATAACAGATTATACATAATAATTTAAGGCCATACATTATTTGTATATTAAGCAAAGAGAATCTTTATTTCCCATTTCAGACATCATCGCCAGCACGACGGCGATGGCCGAGGAGGCGACGGTGAAGGCGGACGGCCCGGCGCGGAAGCGCGTCAAGTACGAGGAGAAGGAAGAACGCCCCGATACCTCGGTCCCATCCCCCTTATCCATCAACACCGCTTCATCCCCATCGGCAACCACCGCCGGCCAGTCCACCCCGGTGTCGATGGGCTCTTCCGGTGAGGCTTGACCTAACGGTTCTTTCGCAATATCGGGGGGGGGGGGAGTGTGCAATTTTTCCTATGAGTCAGAAATGTCTAGTGGCGTAATTGTAAGCTTTTTTAGCATAATTCAGCTATATTTTTGTGCAAAAAAAAACTATTTTTTTTAAAAACTACGAAAAATCTATATTTTTGCATTTTTATAGAGAGTAAGATTCGTTAAGGCGGCGTAAAATAATATTACTAGCAGGAGCACGAACTTCGTAAGGACGTTGAAGCTCATTTTAATCTCGAATTTTGCAGCCGGCACGATGCAACCGTACGTCAAAACGGAGCACAACTCCTCCTGCTCCTCCTCCGCCCTGGCCCCGCCCACGTGGAATCGACTGCAGGACGAGGGGGTACGGAAAATATATCATAAGCTTAGCTTTTGACCTTTTCAGGCTGAAATGTTCGGGCACATGGTGGCGATGAAGCTGGCGACGATGCCGCCAAAGTTGCGCGAGAAGACGAAGGTGGGCTTTTTTTGGTGCTTATACACTTGCGGGGGCGGTAAATTTGCCGTGCGTGTTCCGGTAGAAGCCAAATGATAAAATACAAAGTTTTAAAAGCTTTTTAGGCCTTTTTAGACATAAAAATTTGAATTTTCAAATAACAAAACATAAAAACAAGCAAATTTTCAACTGTTTTGAATAATTTTAATTTTTTGTTTAACAATATCAAGATTTTCAAGTTTTTCAGAATGTTTTTAGTTTTGTAGTACGTAAGCGCAACTGCTACAAAATAGTAACTAAAGTCTATGCCTTGTTATAAATTAAAATAAAGGGTTGTAGTCCCCAACTTAAGATTCTGCCCCCCGCTAACGAACAAGCACCAAAACGCCTTAAAACAATACTTATTTAAAAATATGTAAAATATCTATACACTATTAACCGCCGATTTCAGATCCGCCTCCTCACCGTCATGTTCGAGATGGAATTCGGGACCGACGGTACGGGGGACGCCTAATAACCTCCCCCGGCCGTCTTATCAGAATTTATTACCACCCCCCTATTCGTGTAAACCTCATTGATCTTCAGCCCCATTTTTACAAGGCATAGTTCTCAACTCGAAATCAGGTAGTAAACAGGCAATTGTGTTTCTTAATTTTCCTTATCCTCTGTCTATGTTTTGTCGGTATTTTTGGCACTGCCTTGGTAGTGTCCTCTTTTGTATTTTTGGGTGTATTTTACAGGCCTTTGGCTACACCTCCACTCTTGCCTTTTCGGAATACGGGATTGAATAAAGAGTTTGCGCAGAAAAGTTGAAGACATTTTGAAAAGGGCATTGGAGAGGCCGGCTAGCAGAGACCATTGAGGAGGGCTAGCAGAGACCATTGAGGAGAGCTAGCAAAGACCATTGGGGAGGGCTGGCAAAGACCATTGGGGAAGGCTAGCAGAGACCATTGAATAGAACTAGCAGAGACTATTGTGGAAAGCCAAATCGTCAAGACCGTTCGGGACACAGTACCAATCAAAACTCAGGCAAACTAGCAGAGATCATTGAGTCATTCGATGACGCACCATTGAAACGCATAACATTATTGTCAAATTGGCCCTCCGGTACTGATCGCTGCCACTTTACTCACCGTGCCATCTGAACCAACAATTGCCTACTACTGCCCCCATCACCTATATCCCTGACTCATTTGAATCCTGCCCTCCCCCTTCCCGTCGTCCTTGAAGCCGTTGCTCCCCATTTCCGTCATCCTCCCCTTTTTTCGAGATGTTTGTCGGGGATGGCGCTGAATTCTTATCAAAACTTGGCCTGCCCACACACACGCACACACATACATACACAAACAGGCCCCATTTGAGTCAGGGTTTGGGCTTATCGGTTCAGCCTCGGCTAGATAGCGTGAATACCGCCCACTTTTTTCTACTTTTAAGGCCAACGATCCCGGGGGAAACTTTCAGACTTCTTGCAGACGTCCGCCCAGCTACAGAAGATGCACTCCGTTCACGAGCCGGTAGGTTTATGGATTTTCTTGAGCGGGTGGTCCTTTCCTGATCCTGATCATGTTATGCAACGTGGTATTTACGTCGGCGACTCGCGTTTTGGCTTAGCTTCTATGCGTAATTAGGTATATCCGTAATAGACGGAATATACTTTCACCGTTAGAAGGACTCGATTTTTTTTATTGAAGTTTTGGCTTCTTAAAAAATTTTTGAGGTTTTAGCATGTCCCGTTCACGCTTCCGATGAACGAGCCACCAATCCCGGGATCAGTCATCGAGGTCCACGGCCACCACAAGCATCACGAGTCAGTTTTTGGTATCTTTAAGTTTTGTACAGCTTATATAATTAATACAATCTCGAAGGTTTAACGTTCCCCTTGATTATACCTTGGCTAAAGTCTACTTTACCCCCCCCCCGTCCAAAATTTCGACATTTTCACCAAAAATTTTTTATTTTTCACTATATTTTTGACTCAAATATGGTGTATTCTTAAACTACAGATCGAGACCAACATTTTGGTATACTTTAAAGCCCTGTAGCTCAAAAGATAGCCGAGATACAAAACTCTTCAGGGTGTTCGTCGTCGAGCTGCTCTCCGGGCCGCACGTCGTGCTCCACCTCTCCTTCCGCTTCCACCCCCACGAGCTGGTGCTCAACTCGTCCGCCCACGGCAACTGGGCCCATGAGGTCAGTCTCAAGCTTCAACGCCAATCCTTCCGGTTTAGGAGAAGACGCACAACCCGGTGCCCAAGCACGACCATCACTTCACCCTGAAGATCAAGGTCCAGACCACGCACTATGATGTCAGTTTTCTTATTATATCAAAAATAATGTATGAAAACGCCTTAAAAAATACAAAACTTGACGATTTTGTTCAGATTGAGGTTGACGGCCACCACGTCGCCACCTTCAACCACCGCTACCCGTTCGCCACCGTCCAGGCGCTCGGCGTCCACGGTGACGTTCACATCAAGGACGTCCACTTCCAAGGATTCCACTTCCAGAACCGTACGTAGTAAATGTTGTACGTAGCCTAAGCCCAAGCCGAAGCCCAAGTCTAAGCGAAGCCTAAGTCAAGCCTAAGCCAAGCCCAAGCCAAGCCTAAGCCAAGCCTAAGCCAAGCCTAAGCCAAGCCTAAGCCTATAACTAAGCCAAGCCTACGCCTAAGCCAAGCCCAAGCCAAGACGAAGCCAAGCCCAGCCCAAGCCAAGCCTAAGCCTACCTTTTGAAAGAATGTCTTCTAGAATGGGGCAACCAGCACGACTTTGGCCACGGCGGCTACCAAGCCTACGGCACCCCCCAGCTACGTGCCCCCAGTTTTCCAGGACAACCACCCCCACAACACTCACTACGGTAAGGGCAATTGTGTTTTTTAGGAAATTAATTAAATCTAGATCCCTACCGCTAAATACCAAAATGACGCCTGCGTCGTACTGCAAAAATATCAACCAACTGCCGCCATCTCTGTTAATCAAACTCTATGGATAAATCTTTATCTTTTGGGGCATAGTTGCGAGTGGTACAGAGTGCTTAATAAAAACATAAAAAGCCGAATCAAGATGAAAAATGAGGTAATTGTGGTGGATTAACGAGCCTCGGCCGTGGCCACTGGTGTGTGCGTCTTCCTGCTGAAAAAAAGGAAATAGTTTTTATAGTTTTAAAGTCTATATACTTTATATTTTCATAGTTTTTTTAGCTTAGTAAAGGTATATTTGAAAAAAACAATCACTACGCTAAATCAAAGCAAAATGAAAAGTTGCATGCTGCGCACAAAGCCAGGGCGCGCAGGGGAGTATTGTGTAGCCTGTAGAAAGGCCGTTACGAAACGCCGCGCGGCTCAAACCGTGTTATTTGCTAAGTGAACTTTGTAGAATAATTAACATTAAGTTAAACTAGGTGTTAATACATACTAAAATACATCAGAGCATACGTCATAGCTAAAATTATACATTTACACGTTAAATTAGTCTCACAGCCGTCTCAGATTTCATGACTGCCTCCAGAAACATGCAATTCTTTGACCAACCGTTCCCGATACAACATCACGGCGAGCACGGCGACAAGCACAAACAAAACAACAATCAGCAGCCCGCCAATGTGGCCCACCGGCCGCGAGTACACTAAAAATTATAGAGTAAACGGAGATACCACGCGCCATCCGTGCCTTATTTGTTAGTTAATGGGGTTAGGTAACCGAAAGAGGAAAACTGACAAAGACAACCTTCCTCGCAGAAGTCACCGTCGAAGCCGTTTGGGCAACTAAAAGGTGTTTTTCCGTACATCGCGTTTAGTTTTTACGATTTTTATTTCCGCAGTAAACACGCACGGGGCCAAATGACGAGAATAACTATTTTTTCATAGAAATTTACCCTATCTTTTCCATAAATTCATTTAATGCCCCCATAAAAAAAATTTCGAAAGTATGTCTTTTTGGTTAAAAATGTATAAAAGTGATCCAAAAAAATCAAATTTTTGACGTTTTTTGTATTGTCCAGGCAATGAAAAATATCAAAAGTTGCTAGAAAAATTGTTACATTTTCCTACCAGTTTGGTACCGGACGGAAGGAAAAAATTAGCCTCTCCACCGCTAAACGGAAGCATCCTTTTCAATAGCATCACTATTATCGCTTTTTATGCCGGTTTTGTATTCCCTTATTTCACCCCCAACCCACATGCATGTCGCATTGCCATCGGGCGCCATCGAGACGCACACGCCGCCGTTGTGACAGCTGTTTACCTTGCACAGCTCCATGTTGTCCTAACAAATGAAGAGCAAATAATTACGCGGAATATGCTAGGGTTGTAGGGCCTCGGAAGCGAAAATCAAGGCGCAATAAGGTAAAAAAACGTGGAACTAGCCCATAAAACGTTAAAAAATATTCTGAAGCTGGAAGGCAAAGTTCAGGGATGGACGCGTGCGCTAGTG